GAACAGAACTTTAATAGCTAACGATTTTATGAAAAAGAATAAAGTGGGAGAAATCAATACTTGATTTCAATATGTATGACAGGGCCAAAGCAACAAGAATATGTGATGTTGGTGAGAGATAAACACACAGATCAATGAAACTGAACCCAGAAACAGACCTACACAAACATAAGCAAAGAACATTCACCTCATTCTCAATTTTACAAATGGGTCACAAACTAAAATGTAAAACTATGAAACTTTAGGAAAACAGAAAATCTTTGGGAATCTAAGGATAAATAAGTTATTAGATTTGATACCAAACATAAGATCCATAAAAGAAATTCATCAACTTGCCTCCCTGATTTTAATGGGGATTAAGAGAATCCCTGGCTGTCAAAGGTCCACCTGACTGTCAGAGACAAAGTAAAAACTGTTACTGTAGTAGGCAGCCACACAGGGCGGGAATCAGAGCCACTTCATCTGAAGGTTATTTGACAGTAGCTAAATGAATTGAAATAGCCGAGCAATGCACCAAGATCTATGTGGTCTGTATAATCAGAAAATCATTAGAGCTAAAAATGATCCAGGCTGAGTTATCCTCTTGCCAAAACTCAGACAAGAGTCAGGTCAAAATCCTTGAGCATGATTAATAAGAGAGAAACTGGGTGCATCAAGAAAATACCTTGCAATAACACCACAAATATCAATTCTAAATCTTTCACTTAGCCTTTCACAAACAGATCCAAGGTGTAACTATTCACTGAAGAAAGGAAGACACCTATTTCTTTCAAAATTATGAAGCATGGATTTTTAGCTAACACTAATCCCTTGAGGCCCAGAGGACCACTGTGATCCCGCACTCAGTGAAGGCTTTGGAGTCTCACCCAAATGTGCCTCTTAGTAAAGCCAATAGGGCCACAGATGTGTCGTGGTTATTTTCCCAATTCCTGAGAGTTTGATTAAAATAGATACACTCAGCAGTTGGAAGAACCTCCTCTATTTTGGCTCCCTAACCAATGAAGTAACAAAGGGTATAGTGGAAGTATCTTGAGCACCTTCTCTCAAATAAAAGAAATTCAAGAAAGGAAGGGAGTGAAGAAAGGATAGACTTGTTAATACCATCGTTGAAGATTTATTCCTGTCACATCCCTTTTAAATCACTCGTATGCCCCAGGCCTGGTGCTGCCGCTTGTAATCCCAGCACTCGGGAGGCTGAGGCAGGAGGATTGCTGTTTGAGACCAGCCTGGGCTATATAGTGAGTTTCAGGTCAGTCTTAACTACATAGTGAGACCCTGTTTGAAAAAAACAAACAAACAAAAAATCACTGGTATGGTCTATACAAAAAAGAAAAAAAAGAGATTTGAGAGAATCATTATGCATTATTTTAAATCTAATAAGGAGCTGATGTTACTTGAAACTGATATTCCCTCTGCAGTAACAGTACACTTTTTCTGTCTTCTGGAAGAATTTATTGAAGTTACTGGGCTTACATTCTTCTTAAATGTTTCATAAAATTATCCATTGGAGTCCCCTGGGCCCAGTATTTTCTTTGTGGAAAAGCGTAAGTTATGAATCTAATTCTTTAACATTATAGTATTATTCAAGTTTTCTCTTTATTCCTATGCCAGTTTCAGTAAATTATATTTTTATGAAATTTTTCATTTAATCTGAATTTTTCTATACAATAAGGCTTTTTAAATTAACAAATAAAATTTATATATTTACCATGTACAACATATCTTGAAATATATAAACTGTAAAACAGCTAATTCGAGGTAACATGAATTACTTCATACAGCTACTTTTATGATATGAACACTTAAAATCTATCTTACCATTTTTCAAGAACACAATAGATTGTTATGCTATAGTCAACATGTTGTAAAATCTCTTGAATGTATTCCTTTTAAGATTTTGTGTCCTTTGACCAACATTTCCCCAGCCCGTTAACCACCATTCCACTCTCTATTTCTATGAATTCTACCAGGCCTGCCCTGAAACCAAAGGAAAAAGCAAATAGGCTGCTTTTAGCAAGCAGCAGCAGCTTCTCAGTAAACAGGGAATATGGACTCAAAAGGAAGTCTACACCCCCCCCCACACACACACACCACATGTAAGTCCAGTAATAGTCTACACATCTGAGCAAACTGTCCTTGGGCATCCAAGTCATAAATATTTCACCCCAGATTCTTTAGCCCCTTCAATACCTATATAAGCTAATTCCTTCCCCAGCTAGCAGCCACTGTCTCTCTTCTAATGTCAGCCCATCCACACACAGATGTGATAAACTCAGCTTTTCCCAGCTAGCTGCTAGAATCTCCTGATTTTGGTCATCTTTGTTAACTGGAATAAACTTTCCTTTCAAAAGCCTGCTTTTCTATCTTTTTTTTTTTTTAACAAGGTCTTGCTATGTCATTCAGACTGGTTTGAACACATGGCAATCCTCCTGCCTCAGCCTGGCAATCCTCCTGCCTCAGCCTCCCAAGTTCTGGGATTACAGGCATGCACCACCATGCCCGGCTTCAAAAGCTTGTTTTGACAAGTGGATTCTTTATGACAAATTCAATTTTAGATTCTACATGAGGATTTGTCTTTCTGTGTCTGATTTACTTCATTTAACATAATATCCTTCAGGTTTAACCATAATGTTACAAATAAGAGGATTTCGTGCTTTCATGGCTGGATAGTATTCCACTGTGTATACATACCACATTCCTTTCATTTGTTCATCTGCTGATGGACACCTAACTTGATTCCCTATCTTGGCTATTGTGAATAATGCTGTAATGAACGTGGGAGTGCAGGTATCTCTTAAACATACTGGCTTCAATTCCTTTGGATATATACCCAGAAATGGAACAGTTTAACCATATGACAGCTCTATTTTAAGGAACCGCTGTATTGCTTCCCATACTGGCTGTGCTGATTTACATTCCCACCATATTCTTTCACGTTTGTTGTCTTTCATCTTTTTTTTTTTTTTTTTTTTTTTTTTTTTTGTACCGGGGATTGAACTCGGGTCCTTGCGCTTGTGCGCTTGCGAGGCAGGTGAAGCTAAATCCCCGGCCCTCTTTCATCTTTTTGATAAGAGCCATTCTAAGAGGTGCAAGGTAACACCTGAGTTTGTCTGTTTGTTCGTACTGAGGATCGAACTAGATCCTTGCCTTGCGTTTGCAAGGCAGGTGGAACCACTGAGCTAAATCAGCTAAATAGCTGAGTTTTTAATTTCCATTTCCCTGATGATTAATGATGTTGAGTATTTTTCATATATCTGTTGGACATTTGTACGTCTTGATGAATATTATTAGTTCTTTTGCCCATTTTAAAAATCAAGTTATTTATTTTACTATTGAGTTGTGTTCCTTATGTATTTTGGACAAAGCTACAGTCAACTAAAAAGATTTTAAGTATTATGCCTTAGGTAATATTGATCCCATGGGGAATCACGAGGTGGAACAAAACTATGATCAACCAATGAGATTTTAATAAATATGGTCGCTTAAGTAATATTGATTAAATGGGGGTCAAATGGGGAAGCTTGTCATGCAGCAATAAGCACAAAGAACTAGGATTTCCTGGAAGGAATGGGCTAGGGAGGTTTTGGTCCTCATCCAAGGTAATTGATACCTACTTAGAGCATCAGTCACTGCTGTTCTCGAGTATAGTTCTTTTTCTTGAAGCCTGGCCTTTACTGAATGAGCCTCAGGCCACAGTTGTCCGTGCTGAGGGCTCCAGACTTTGCTTTACTGCCCTGTATTTTCTAACTAGCTTAGCGAGCCACAGTGAGAGGCTTGATGGTCCACCCATGGATTTCACCATGGAGGATGGGGGAGATGTTCTGGAGTCAATCCCCTCCGGATAACCAAGAACAACTGTACTCTCTGGTAGGGTGATGGATGGTCTGGAGAATAAACCTAGGATCAGTCCATCGGAAGGGATCTAAGGCAAGTCAGGTCAACCTCCTAATATCTATCGCTTGAATTGGGAGTGGAAGAAAGGATGACAGAATGTGAGCTCCACCAAGGAGAATCCTCACTAATTTCCTCTGGATACCTGGCACCCAACATGTATTAAATAAACACTTGACTGAATGAACACAGCAGGGCTAGACAGAAAACTGGAAAGGAAATCAGGAATTGGAGGCTGAATCTGAGAGGCAAAGGAATCAGGAAGGTAACTCTCAGTGACAAAATCGAGCATGTCAGAAAGGTGAGCTAGTTTTGAAGTATAACTGGTAGCTATGCTAATGAAACCCGCATTTCTTTTTTTTTCTTTTTTTGAGACAGGGTCTCACTATGTAGTTGAGTCTGACCTGGAACTCATTATGCAACCCAGGCTGGTCTCGAACTCACAGCGATCCTTCTGCCTCAGTCTTCCGAATGCTGGGCTTACAGGCGTGCGACACCACACCCGGCTGAAACCTGCATTTCTAATGTGACCAGAAGGGGTGAAAATCCTCTAGATTTCCAAGAATTATCGAATCATCTAAAGCTATGTTTCTTCCTAAATGCATGCCTGTACGCCCTCCATGTTCTTTCTGCGCTCATGCAAGCAAGAGGGGGGACAAGGAATCCTAGCAGGAGGCAAGCCAGTAAAGGGCCAGAGCAACAATCCTGCGTCCGCAGTGAACGCAGCACCTTTCCCAGTTCAAGGGGAGAGCAGAAGAAACAGTGAAAGCCAAAGAGTGAGGTTACGAGCCCGTGTCCAACCCTGTGGACTACTGGTTTCAGGCTCTCCCATCGGTGTGCAGTTGCCACCAGCGGAGGGAGTACGACCGCGCCAGCTCACCGAATGTAGCCAGGAGACCTCAAAGTCAAAATTGGGGCAACTACCTTGAGCGGGACCCGAACAATGCCCTCAACACTCATTGCAGCACTGGGCCCAAAAGCCCTCATTTTAGCAGGAAGAAACCCCTACCCCCTCAGAAGCCTCCGCCCGCCTCCACTGCCACACACGCAAGCGCAAAGAAGCCGAAGGGTGATGTCATCCCTACCCCCTCATTCCCTGTCGCACTTACACGTAGTAAATCCAACGCCTATCGAAAGGGCCGGGCCAGAGAGGCTTTGGGAGAAAGGACACTCTGGAGCGCAACGTAGTCTGCTAGTTGATATGCGCGCGCAGCTCGCTGGCGCGGGTTCTGACTACCACAGCCAATGAGGCGCGAAAACGTCATCACGCTTAGCCGAACGTGGGGCAGTTTGAAGGTGGAGCGAGTGTGGTTGCACCAACACCGGTACTTAGCCTCGGACCCGCGTGTCCTTGGGCTAGAGAGCTGCAGGTCTGTCCTCTGAGTTGGAGCCTTCTCCGTGGTAACAACTACAGAGTAGTGAGCATCGGACGCGGAAGCCGCAGCAGGTACGAGCCGTGAGAGGGGGAGCCGTAAGGGGCGCGCGGGCCGCGTGAAGCGTGTGGGCAGTGTAAGGCCCGCGCCCGGGATCTTCGAGGGAAGGCTGCCAGGGCCGGTACGGCCGGGAGCAGAAGCCGGTTACCGGCCACCGGAACCAAATGGATTAGGACTTCAGGTGGAGCAGATCCCTAACTGGACAGAGGTGTGGACTAGGTCACGGATTGTATGCGGCTTAGTTGCAGAGCTGACAAAGACGCGGCTTCTGACCGTGCTCAAGCGGTTCATAGCCTTCCCAGATTGAAAGCTGCTGCTGCTTTAATAAGAGCTCAGTTTTTTATCCCCAATCTGTCTATTCTCTTGTTAATCGGTCAAGCATCCCGGAAGGGTGGAGTTCATTAATCTCCTTGAAACCGACCTGGATGGGTGACCTCGTGGTCTCTCCTGATCTCAGAGGTGGAATGTGTAAAACTCCCGTCCCAGCTCCACCTCTCAGTGACAGCATCGCGGGTTACTGTGACTTAAGCTGCACTTGTGACCTAAGGCTGAAACAGCCAAGACGGGGGGGGGGGCACTTTTGTTTTTTCAGAAGTGTCTTTAGATTGTAGCACAATTAAGTAAGCCATTTTAAAAGTTGGAATCGTAGTGGTTTTGGTTTAGTGTAATTGCAATTTAGTTCCATATTTATGACTCTTTGACCTTGAGCCCTCTTGAGCCCTTCATTTGAAATTGAAGTTTGATCTGGGTTCCCACTTAGCTTACTTAGGTTTTGAACTTCCTGCTATGAACGTAGGTAACGTTTAAGGAAAGTCCTAAGCAAAACAAGGGCCAGAATTTAGCTCAGTGGTTCCACCACCTGCGAAAGGTCCCGAGTTGATCCTAAGAGCCATGCTCAGCAAAACAAGATTCATCCATCCTGGTACTTAAAGTCATAGATAAGCAGTTAAGTGAGTTGGGTATCTTTGGTTTCCACTGTATTTGTTTCTTGAGGAAAAAATTACTGTTGGGTCTTTCGTTTTTAGATTTAAAAATGGGTGATGTTGAGAAAGGCAAGAAGATTTTCGTACAGAAGTGTGCCCAATGCCACTCTGTGGAGAAGGGAGGCAAGCACAAAACTGGCCCAAATCTCCATGGTCTATTTGGGCGGAAGACAGGTCAAGCTGTTGGATTCTCTTATACAGATGCCAATAAGAACAAAGGTGAGAGAACTGTTGTTGAATAATATAGCACAAAACTGCATGAATGAACCAGGCATGGCATCACATGCCTGTAATCCCAGCACTCGGGAGGCTGAGGCAGGAGAATTTGAGGCCAGCCTGAACTACCTAAGGAGACCATGTCTCAAAAAACCAAGGAAAAAAAATTGCATGAATGTAACCTATGGCAAACTTAACAGGCTGTAAAATACTTATCCAATGCATTCCTTTTTGTTTAGGCATCACCTGGGGAGAGGATACATTGATGGAGTACTTGGAGAATCCCAAGAAGTACATCCCTGGAACAAAAATGATCTTTGCTGGCATTAAGAAGAAGGGAGAAAGGGCAGACTTAATAGCTTATCTCAAAAAAGCTACTAATGAGTAATAGTCACTGCTTTATTTATTACAGAACAGAAATGTCTCATGGCTTTTTTATGTGTACCATAATTTAATAGATCTCATACACCAGAATTCAGATCATGAGTGGCTGACAGAATATTTTTGTTGGACAGTCCTGATTTAAGTAAAATTGGCTTACAGTTGGATAGTAATTCCAGTTCAGTAAATACTATCATTTTCCCTTTCTAAATATATGGTTGGATTTATTTAGTAATGTTCCCGACTTCTCACAAATATGGAGAATGTTATCTCAAAACCTACTGGAGGTTTGGTTTTATATTTAGATTTATATAACTGGTCATGTGAATGTGTTTAAATATCAGGGAAGTCCTTCACAGTCTCAGAACCAAGCAAGACTCTTGTTTCAATTTGTTTGTTAACCTGTAAAGGCAGTGGTTGAAGACAAGGAACATGTATATTTTTTATCTTGACTATGCCAATTTAATTAGAATTCCCTGTGTCTAACAACAGCTGCCTTTTACTTGCTGAAAGGCATTTTAGTGTGGGATATATATATATCTAAATAAAGAATATTTAACACTTCACATTTTATAGTTCTATAAGTTCAGATCCTTTTAAAAGTCAGCATGGTACAATAACAAGTTAGATTATATTTTTGAATTCTTTAAGTTGGACTAAGTTATTATTCAGAATAGAATTTAAACAGCTATTTAAAAACACAAACTTGAAACTACTGTTTTATGTGTGATTAGTAGTGGTGCTTTTTTGTCAGCTCATTAGAAGGATTAAAGTGGGGAAGGTACAATATCAGCACAAATTTGTGTGTGACCGTAACAATTAAAAACAAAATCAGATTGACTTTTCAGTTGTTCTTGATTTGATGACTTCATAGTAAAACTAATGATTAAAAAGGACAATAGGGCTAGGGATTTAGCTCAGTGGTTCTAATACCTGCCTTGCAAGTGCAAAGACCTGAGTTTGATCCCTGATACCGAAGGACAAAAAAAAAAGGACAATATCCCCAAATTGATAGAGCAATAATACTCATCTGTGTACAGATTCAAAAATTTATAATTTAACCCAGAAGTGATTAGCCCTTGCTAACTTTTGGCCATCATCAAACTGACAAATGTTGGTTAATTCACATCTAGGTGTTTCTTTCCTGAGACTTTAGATAGATTATATATAGAAAATATCCCTTTAAACCAGGTGTGGTGACACATGCCTGTAATCCCAGCACTCTGGAAGCTGAGGCAGGATGATTGTGAGTTTGAGGCCAGCCTGGGCTACATAGCAACGCCCTGTCTCTTAAAAAAAGAAAGAAAGAAAGCCCTTTTTTTTACTAATAACAGATTTAGCTTTTTACAAGTTTGAGAATTTTGTGTACTTCCTATATCAGCTAAGGCTGATGTTGGTACAACATGGGTACCTGAGATATTTTAGCCCAGTTAAACACTTCTAATGATTTAGAATGTAAATGATCCTATAGTTAATGCAAAAAAATAGCTATAAGAAATAAGGACACTGACACAAAAAGCTAACACTACAACTTAACCTGTTTCCATACTTCCTTATTGTAGTTTGGTTGCATTAGTGGTACCAAAAGTATAAGCCAGATATATTTAAGGAGGACTTCTTCCAAGTGCCACCTGTGCTATGAATTTCATTTAGGAGAAAGTTAGGGCGGGGGATTTAGCTCAGTGGTTCCGCCGCCTTCCTCGCAAGCGCAAAGACCTGAGTTCAATTCCCGATACCAAAAAAAAAAAAAAATAGAACTCTGCCAAATAAAACTCGCTGTAATGATGAATATCTTCTAGATGTATGTGACCAGTAACCATATGTAGTCCTTGAAACATGGCATGTCTACAGAAACTGAATTTTAAATCTCCATAGCCACAAATAACTAGTGTCTTATTGTATAGACAGAATGGGTATAGAACTAGAGCCAGGGACCAGTGCTTCCATAACTCCATTTTCTTAACGTAGGATTAATGCAAGTACATTATAAATATGCTCTTTTAAACACTTTTTCTAGCCTGAAAATTCACCTCTAATTTTACCACGTTTTGCCTAATTCATTCATTAGTTCACAATTTATTACAAGACATTCTGGCAATTGTATTAGGTCAGGGATATATTTTTATGTCATGCTTCTGTACTTTAATTTTCTGGTAAGATATATAAACTGAAGATTGTTGTAAATTATAAAGGAATCCACATTAGCTGTCTAGGAAGAGGATTTAACTATCACTGGCCCTTCACAATGGAGTGGTCTCAGTCTGTTCCATGTTGGTCAAACTCAGACAAAAGTAAACTAAAATAAATTTTCATAATGGGGACTATTCATTTCTAGTGATGGACTCCTGGCTCCCCCCTTTGTTATATCCATGCTGTTATCTTTTAAGCCAGAAAGATGTTGCTGAGCATGGAATGAGAGTTACATAGTTCATAGAGTCAAACCTTACACATCATAACATACAAATATACCTTTCCAGGGATGAGAAAGTTGGTCTCTGATTAATTTCTTCTAGGCATTGGTGGGGTACTTTGAGTTCATTTTTGTGCCTAAGACAATCCCCGATATTCACATTCTTAAGATATAATACAAAATAGTGGGTTTATACTTAAAAATTATTAGGTTCCAAATTATCTTAATCGGAGTTTGGGGTTTATAAAAGACTAGACATACCCTAAGGTTATCTCTTATTTTATTCAGAAAACTAAGTAGATTTACTATATTATTTCTCAACAAATGAAATGTTTTGGCTCTTAGGAGAAACTTAATTGTCAGTCTCTCTACTTAACTCCAACGAATAAAATAGAGTTCACCATACATAGAGATACACAACACAGGACCCATATATAATTATCATTTGCAGCTTTTAGGAATGACCTGGCAAAAACAGCAAGAAAACTTAATTGCTAGAATGTTACTAAAATATCCATATTTTAACCACATTAACAAAGGATGTTGGAGCTAGAAAAGTTTTTAGAAATTTCTTAGAATTCAACTGTGCTATTTTACAGATGAGAGGTGATGTAACCTGAAGTAAGTATATGGAGCTGATGAGCAAGATAGTGGAAACCACAGAACCAAGTTACTCTGATTTCAGTCTCAATTCAAATCCCCTATTCCCACACAGTAATAAACTTACTCCTTTTTCTCTCTCTCATTCACTAGAAATGCAGCTACAGGGCTAGGGATTTAGCTCCATGGTTCCTCTGCCTGCCTTGCAAGTTTAAGGTCCCAAACTCAATCCCTGGTACCAAAAAAAAGGAATGCAGCTACGGTTCTACATAATGTATGTAAACATTTAAATATGTTCAACATTTTTATTTTTAAAAAATTTAATTATTTAAATGCTTAATACAGAGTGCTGGGCCTGGGATTAGAAAAAGTTTACTGTGTCAATAGACTAGCCTGTAGGCCCAACCCAACTACACACCTGTTATTGTAAGTAAAATTTTACTGAAACAGTCACATGCATTCATTTATATGTTATCTGGGGATGCTTTTGTGTTACCTTACAATGTAGTAGTTGCAGTAGAAACCATATGGCCCACAAAAGCTAGAATCTAAGAATGTTTCTTGGCCCCTGGCTCAAGCTTTTCTTCATCAAAGAAAAACAGCCTCATTTTGTTACCATTCAGAGAATAGGAATAATCCTGACTTCAATGGAGTCACTGAGTAACAGCTGTGAAAATCCATGAACTAGTAAGCACTGAAAAAATGTGCTAATTTTACATTTACATGAAATTCCTTGAAGATCATATAGTGAAAAATTACTTTTTCCTTGGTTAGCAATAAGCTAATTGTCAAATCTATTTTTGACATCCTTGACTCATTTTCTTAGTTTTGCCTTAATCTTTATGGCCATGTAGCTATATTAATTGTAGTCCAAATACATATATACAATGTGACATTCTGTCTAGAGGTTAGTCCTGTAACTCAAATTGCTTTATAATGAGTCATGCATTCACATGTCACTTCATCCTTACCACTTCATAAAATATATGGGACATACTGTCCCTGTCAGATGAGTACACAAGCTCAGATTGTAACTGCCAAAGGTCACTTGGATGTGTTACCTTGTTAGTAATATCGTGTGCTGCCACCTGCCTTCCAGGGTGCCTTTTAAAACTCCATAAAAACTAGATCATTTGTACTAATCTCTTTAACAGAACACTCATACCTTTTCTTAGTAGAAATAGCTTTCTTTAGACCTGTGCCCCTCTGCAGCCCCTACAAGTAGACTCTGCTAATTCATCCACATTGTCCACATCTAGGGCCTTGGGATTATGGCATCTTCCACTTCATCACTCTTCCTCTCATGAGCAGAAATACATACAGGCAATGTTGTTGGGAGTAATTTTACATAATTCTTGGGAAAAATCATTTCATAATTAAATGGTGTTCCACATCAGCTGAAGACATCCTGGGGAGGGACAAATTCCTAATCAATAAAAGTTCCTTATCAAGCTAAGACCTTCATCTGCATAAATTCCTCATTCTAGGGTTATTGCCTCCACTGCCCTCTGAGTCATCTGTTACTCCCAATGTATGGAATAAAGGTGTGGCAAGCTCGGGATCTTTGTCTTTGCTGCCCAGAGCAGCATTAGTCAGGCCCAAAGCTCAGTTTCTTTAAATTGTGTTTCCTTTCTTAGTTAATTCTTGTTGTGTAGTGGCTCACAGGAGACCAAGACTCACTACAGTGTAAGACCTGACTGAACTAGAGCGACTCCATGTTGACCAGCAAATGACCCAGAGATTGTTCCCCCCCTTACAGGATAAGTAATGATTAGTTGTGAATGAATAGGTAACTGCTTGGTAGTTCTGGGAAACTAGATAGAAACTAGCTTGGAAACTAGGGAGAAACTGTAACAAACATAGAGACCCAAAGTAAATCACTCCATTCCTTGTTTGCCCGTAACTGAATGTTCTGAATACCACAATCTATAAAACAATGGATAATCAATCTGCTAATCATTAGTACGTAAAGGTCGAGTACATGATTGATGATAACCAGCTCGGATCAACTGACCACTTGCCTTTGTCCCCTTCCTGTAAATTTCAAGTGTAAACTCCCCCCATAGCCCTTTATAAAATAGCCTCTGACTCTGAGCTAGTTGCCTCTCTGAGTTACTTGGCTCCGGGAGTGCCATCTGGCCAGACTAATAAAGGTCTATCTGCCAGGTAGCCTGGTGTGTTCTTCCTGGGTGACTCTCGCTGTCCAACAAGCTCCTGGAGCTTTGCCAAGTTTTAGCGCTCAGCATCATGGAGGCCTTTTGGCCTTTTACTCCACGGAGTAAAAGTGAGACTTTTAAGTCTTACAACAGGAATTCTGGTAACATCCCCTCT